GGACTTAAAGCGAAAGATATTACAATATGACGCTTTTCAGTAGCATTGCAATTTGTCTCCAGTTTTATTATGCACATAGTTCAGCACATTCATAATTTTTAGCATGTTTATTGTATAAGTATTGTATTTTGTTGTATTTGTGTTCTCGAAGATATTAGCTAATTTTAGTTACTTAGAGGAAATATAGTTTAACCAGAAAATGATATTCCATTCACCAGAAGAAATGTTCGGAAATAAATCTGCATTTTTTGGTCGAATGGACCACATTGTGACAAATTCTTCTGTACTCTTTCCACAAAGGCTTATTTTGATGGTTTGACGCGCTTGTGCAATCTGTGACGAGGTGATTTCGACACCTTAGTTTATAAACCTTTCGAATACGATAAAAACTCGCACGCTTTTTGCAAAATAACCCATAAATATCTTTAAAATAGAAGAACCTGTTTTCGGAACAAAGCATATTAAAAACTTCTAAAAACGTTCTCTAGCTTTATAAAGTTAAATAAACTAAATAAACTTAAGTGTCAATAAACTAATTGTTCTTCATTAAAAAAGAATGAAGCGTATGCACATGACGTCATGACGTCATTTTTTCCATTTTTTATCCATCGAAGACTGTAGTCTGACAGCCGAAAGCTCGAAAGTTTTAACTTTATATAGAGCTTTTTCACCCAAGTGGCCAGTACACGTGCACATTTATTGGAGCAAAATGAAGTGTTTACATAAGAAAACAGTTCCAATCCCACGGGATTGGTTTAGTACACCAACATGGCCGCGGTTTTAATATTTTAAAACACCAATATGGCTGCCGTGACGTCATGAAAACGCTCTAGCCAGCGAACGTTTTGATCAATTTTTGTGACATAAATATCTTGTTTGCATCGTTTCAGTACCACTCGGATACGAGTAGATAATAACCCCTTTCATACAACCGAAGAATAAATTCGATTTTAAATTTCGGGGAATCTTTGTTACATTCACATAATTTGCTTCAGTGGCATAAACGCTCCAGTTGAAGATAAATTTTGAATAATGAAACGATATGGCAAGAGTAATTTTGCACGAAATTAGAGCCGGTTGTATAAGGCACATTTGGCTTGAGGTGGTAATTTTAAAAGGAATGTAAATTAGCCTAATCAGCACATTGCCCCCCCAGGCATTTGACTGTTTTCGAAAATTAATATCACGTTCATAGTGACACCCAAAAAACGGCAAGTTTGACAATTTCACTAGGTAAAGTTTACAAGCTATTTTAAGTGTTAAGAGCCAGTTTATGTTCAGCCCGAGCGTGATGCCTTCCCTACATAAAATCGTGTACTAATGATAAAATGTAAACAATCAATAAAGCGTTTTCACATCACGTCACTTAGCCATATCGTTGTTCCAAAACAATAAAACGGCGGCCATGTTGGTGTACCAAACCATTCCTGTGGGAGTTGAACTCTTTTCTTATATAAAAAATTTCCTTTTGCTCCAATAATTTTGTATGTGTGCTGGCCACCAAAGTAAAAACGCTCTATACATGCAGCTGTTAAGAAAGCGAAAATAGGTACTTCATGCATGCATTGAAGAAAAAGAAAACAATTCTTGATGTATCAAACCAATCCTGTGGGAGTCGAACTATCTTCTCATGCAAACATTTCTTTTTGTCCAATAATTTTTCATGTGTGCTGACCACGTGAGTGAAAACATTCCATACATGTGGCTGGTAAGAAAGCGAAAACAAGTACCTTATGCATGCATTGAAGAAAAAGAAAACTGTCCTTGGTGCACCAAACGTTATTATAACCAATCCTGTGGGAGCTGAACTCTTTTCTTGTGTAAACACTTCCGTTTGCTCCATAAAGTTTGCATGTGTACTGGCCACGTGAGTGAGTTCGCTCTATACATGCGGCTGGTGAGAAAGCGAAAATAGTTACTTCATGCATGCGTTGGCGAAAAAGAAAATTATTCTTGGTTTAATAAACGTTATTAACCAATCCAATACAGTGGGACCGGAGTTGAACTCTTTTCTTATATAAACACTTCCTTTGTGCAGCTGGTAAGAAAGAGAAAACAGGTATTTTATGCATGGTTAAAGAAAAAAAAAAAACATCCTCGGTGTACCAAACGTTATTAACCAATCCAGAGGGAGCTGAACTCTTTTCTTGTGCTAACACTATCTTTTGCGCCCTTAAATTTGCATGTGTACTGGCCACGCGAGTGAAAACTTTCTACACGTATGGCTGGTAAGAAAGCGACAACAAGACTCTACGCTTGCATTGGAGAAAAAGAAAATAGTTCTTGATGTATCAAACGTTATTAACCAATCCAGTGGAAGTTGAACTCTTTTCTTGTGTTAACACTTTCTTTTGCGCCACTAAATTTGCATGTGTGCTGGCCACGTGAGTGAAAACTTTCTACACGTGTGGCTGGTAAGAAAGCGGCACCAGGACTTTACGCTTGCATTGGAGAAAAAGAAAACAATTCTTGGTGTATCAAACGTTATTAACCAATGCAGTGGGGGTTGAACTCTTTCTTGTGTTAACACTTTCTTTTGCGCCCTTAAATTTGCACGTGCACTGGCCACGTACACGTGAGTGAAAACGTTCTACACGTGTGGCTGGGAAGAAAGCGACAACAGGACTTTACGCTTGTATTGGAGAAAAAGAAAACAATTCTTGGTGTATCAAACGTTATTAACCAATTCAGTGGGAGCTGAACTCTTTTCTTGTTTTAACACTTTCTTTTGCGCCACTAAATTTGTATGTGTACCGGCCACGTGGGGGAAAATTTTCTACACGTGAGGCTGGTAGGAAAGCGACACCAGGACTTTACGCTTGTATTGGAGAAAAAGAAAACAGTTCTAATAAAAAATAGAAGCATGTTTGGGAGAATAAGAAATATTGTAAGAAAACAAGCCGGAGGCTAGTGTTCCACATCTTTCACGAGTGTTTTACGAGTGTTTCTACAACTGGAAAGAAACAAAGAGAAAATCTATTTTTCTAGAATTTAAAGGCGTGCTCTGGCGAAAAATATGTTAAAAACACAATGAACACACGATACCTGAGGCATTTAATGCACCATCTTATAATCGGAAACTTTTGTCAACTACAATCTCAGCGGTTACCGAAACTTTCCGGAATACCATGAAAAGATGAAAATGCCTAGTCAAAACAAGGCACACAAGAAAGGGCAATTCAAAAGTTTCACAACGAAGAGCAAACATCCAGCCGTAATCCACCTGTTTATGTTTGTCATGAGTTAAATTCTGTTACGGAAAGACTCTTGAAATAGAAACAGAAAAAGGAAAAATTACAAGATTGGAATCAAGGACGGCTTAACATAACACTTACAGCATGGAAACCTACTGAGCGCTCATGGTTCAGCAGTCCTACTCAACCGTTGTACATCGTACTTCTAGAAAAAGCTTCCAAATGTATAGTTTCTATGCGGCACCATCTAGAGTTGGAGAGGGTTCCCTGCAGAGAACCAAATCACGACCTCGTTGGCAGTCAAACTTCGGAAGATATGATATTCAACACCAGTTAGAGACGGTCAGGACGAGAATTCCAAACGGAAATATCAAGAGAGAACTGCAGGAAAAATCGCCAACTTTCCTCAGTCAATCCCTCATCTCTGAAAACGGAAAGCTGAGCGGGTGGCAATTTGGAGCCACTCCGTATTTTGGTGCGAGGTACCCCTGCCCTACGATGTCGTTTATTTCTCGCAGATACTCACAGGATTTGAATACCTGTTCCTTTCCTAGGGCAAGTCCTGTGGCCACCAGGCTAGAACAGACAGATACATCTCTTGGGAAACCAAAAGGTTTATCTGGGGAAGGAACCAGAACTACCACTGGGTTATCAGATAACGGTCATGCGACATTTGGAAGGCTTCTCAGCGATAGCGAGCCGTTAACAAACCTACCAGAGCCTAAAACTGAACAGTTTCCGCAAGGACAACGAGAAGCCCTGGAAAGCATCAACATGGCTATCAACAACTCAGCCAAGACAGGCCCAGAGTACCGGGAACGAAGAAGAAGGAACAACCTGTCGGCGAAGAAATCGCGCGACGCCAGGAAGTTTCGAGAATTGCAAATGGGAAGGAAATTGGTTTATCTTGAGCATGAAAACATACGTCTGCGTGCGGATATTTATGCATCGCAGGAAGAAAATTTTCGCTTAAAAAGAATACTAAGCGCTAACTGCGATGTTTTCAGCTCACAGCAATTTCTGACAGAAAAACAAGAGAATTAAGCACCGCGCCTTCATTTCACTACTGATGGCAAATATCCCAGTTTCGACGCCGAATGAGAGAAGTCTTTTGCCGGTTCCCTACACTCGTACGAACCTTTTCCTACTGGTTTAATTGATTGTGGATTGTAGATAATGTCAAGGGAGGCTGACGTTTGCCATAGAATGTCCTATTTAAACTTTTTATAAGTAGTCTATAGTAATCTTTAACAGAATTTTTGAAACGGTATACGTATTGCATTTTCTGTAAATATCGATCATGTAAGAAACTCGAATGTTACATTTAAGGTAGTAAGTGATGATTACAATAGCTTTTCGCCTTATCTTGTATAAGTAGATATTACTTGTGCATTTGCCAATAAATTTGAAGAAGAAGGAAAATGAAACTGAGTGTTGAAGTCTGTGATTAACGAGTGTGCAAATAAAGCATTTTTCAAGTTAGTCGTGATTTGTTAGTAATTATAATGTCTGGCACTCCCATTTAAGTAATTAACTTTCCAACAAGGAGAAGGCTATGGGAACAGGCATGTTTCTGACGCACAAAATGACTTTCAAATTTGAGAAAACTTCAAAATGACTATTGTTTTGAAAATAGATCAATTTCGATATATTAAATTTTAGCCTAAAAACAATAGACTTCACCACAAGGCACTGGGGAATCACTACAGAGTTTGATGATGATAATAAAAAAATATCTTTAGCCAGAAGGCAATCTCACCCTCATGCAGGTGGTTTTCAGGCTGGTCCTGAGTAAATCAAAATTAAGTTCAGGACATGCGAACGAACCTCAAAACCACAAAGTAATTTACGTTGCTGTTTGCGTTTTAGTTTTCTCGCGCCCAATTGGCTTTTTTCTTGCTAGACAATGACGTGCGACAATGGCGTTCACGGTTTTCTGGGTTTCACGGTAACAATAAAACCATGTAAGCAACAAAACAGACATAGCGAGCTCCTGTTAAAGTGTCCAGACGGGTACAGGGTTTTTGTGGTTTTGGTATCTGTATAACATCTAAAAATGTATTCAAACCAAAAAAATGGATTCCGATGCTTTTATTTGCCATGAAATCGAGCTTTAAATTTCCCGCTTCGGCCACGCCCAATGAAGTTGACCGCGTAGTGAAAGATTGGTGACGAAAGACGTCACTTCAGGAACGTCTCAAAGCTTCATGCTTTTATTTTGCTTGCCTGACAACCGCATTGTTTCACCAACTTCAGTTTGTTTGTTTTTCGTCGACGAAATTTGGATTTGGATTTGGCAATTCCTGACTTGACGTCACGACCCACTCAGAAACCCAGACTCTTTTTTTGCACTGACT